CCCAGAATGCTTTGCGTGTAAATAAAATGGCCCCGTCCGTGTATTTTTAAACTTTTAGTTTATTTTAGTTTATAAACTTTTAGTGTATTTTTAAACTTTTAGTTTATTTTAGTTTATAAACTTTTAGTATATTTTTAAACTTTTAGTTTAAAAATGATAAAAACTAAACATCCTACAGTATTTTTAGTCTTTATTTTACAGTTAAAATATATGTTTTTCAAAATAAAGTCTAATGTTACAACTAACCAAGAATCCCTTTAAAACCAAAAATAAACCTGATTTTATATTCATAGTCTATCTTAACACATTGAAATTGGCCTCTGTCTCTATAAGAACCTCCTACCGTTTCTAACACTCCCACTTCAGCATGTCTTTTACAACAATGCTTCAAGGGAGGGGGCTATGTGAGGCTAGCTACATACCGAGCTCCAGGGAGGAGCTCTGTACAAATAGGCGGAGCTTTGTGTAAACGGGTGGATCTTTGTACAAATGGGCGGAACTTTGTGTAAATGGGTGGATCTTTGTACAAAAGGGCGGAGCTTTATAGCAGCAGGTGTTTAGGCAGCTCCACATGACCACCACAGGAGATTCACGGATTTCTCTAATATGAATGAGTCAAAGCAACTCTGGATGTTTTTGATGAGACATTATAACATGGTGTAAAGATCAAACACTTTGCATACCCCCCCCCCCAAAAGAAAAGTAAAACGTGTCGTCTGATCAGGAACTTACTCGCTCCTGCGTTCCAAATTTCCCATCAGCCACCAGGTGAACCTCGTAGGTGAAGTTCATGCTCATGGCCAGCTTGATGAGCAGGTCGATGCAGAACCCGTAGCAGCACTGCGGGACGATGGGCTGACCTGGACACAAACATGGACCCGCTTTCATCAGAAGAAGAAGGATCTGGTGTGGGTTCTGAGGGTTCCCTCCCAGATGCACAGCAGGATCTGTGTACCTGGTATGGTCCCGTTGGGTCCGGTACAGATCACCTTCTTGATCAGAACCCCGTTAACGGTGTACTCTTCTTTACACGTCCCGTCGCTCTTCGTCGGCTTGACGTAAACAAACGGCTCCTGGTGGATCGTCACGATCTGAACACAGAACAGATTTTAGAACAAGGTTCTGGTGTCAGAGGAACAGAACCCCCTGGGGGGGTCGGGATGAGGACAGGAGCCGTGTCAGATCATTTATTCACAGCTCCTGGATGTAGCAGAATGTTTTACTGGACAGAACCGGTGTCACTAAAGCTGTCCTACATCATGTCATCCGTCATGTTCTGGTGAGCCAAACGGACCTTCAGTTTGGTCGACATCTGGTATCCCACTGGTTTCTCCGTCTCTCCTCCAGGCCAGATGATCTTCCTCTGAGGATTCATCACCACCTGCAGCACAAACACGTTTCGAGCCGGGTCAGGAAGTGGTTCCAGGCAGGTCTCAGTGTGACGGGCCGACTAAATGAACATTCATATTTAAAGAGGCCCGAGGCTCAGAGACGACCCGCCTGCAGCATCGGCTCATCTGTTCAGCTCAGAGCTGCAGGTACTGCAGGTGCTTCTGTTCACGCTTTTATTTTCCTTTTCAGACTTCCTGCTCTTCATTTTTTACACTTTTAGTTACGATTTTCACATTTTTATGTGTTAGCTAAACTTTCTGCCTAATTTAGGCTTTAGAAATAGTTTAGCTACATTTATCTTTTAGCTACTCTTTTGTTACCTTTAGCTTTTAGATACAGTATGGCTAACTTTAGCTTTGGCTTTAGCTTTTTTATGTTTTTGCTTTTCTTATATTTTAGCTACAGTTGGTCACCAAGAGTCTCAGTAAGATGAACCAGGTGGACCACCAGGAGCATTAGACAAGTGGAGGTGATCTCTGCCCCTTTTCCACTAGTACCAGTTCAGGCTGGCCCGATCCAGTTCGGTACGGTTCCAAGCCATTTCCATTAGGGATGTCCCGATCAGATACTCAGTATCGGTGTCGGTGGTAAATATGGCCATTTTTTGACAATCGGGTAGAATGGGATTTAGTCATGTGATCGGGCCGATCCAGTTTTCAGCATCATCATGCTTTACAGCTGCCGTTAAGAAGTCAAGACGCACAAAGTAAGCAACCACCATGTCCACAGTGTGGGAACACTTTTCAATGGAACACAATGATGCTGAAACTGCATCTTGCAAAATCTGAAAACTGGATGTTTCTTGTGGAGGGAACAGCAGGGCTCGCTTTAATACAACCAACCTTGTCACTTGGACAGAAATAAAAAATAAAGCTATTGGATCAGTATTGGATCAGTACCGGAAAGACTAATCATTAAAAAAATCGGATTGTATCGGGAGCCAAAAAATCTGGATCGGGACATCCCTAATTTCCATCAGGCCAGATTCATGAAACCAGTCCTTTTTTTGGTACCTACTTCATTGTGGTTCCAAGAGGTCCCAGTCGACACCAAAATGCGACGTAAGAACACTGTTCGTCACGGATTGGTTAGTGGGTGGAGTCACTAGCTGCATTTCCATTGACCATGAAAATGTGCAAATTAGAATTGTTGCCGGTTGTTGATCACAGGAGTCACGTGATCAACAACCAGCTGTTTCTACTGGTGAAAAAGACGATGACGAAGGAGATAACAGGAAGTAGAGTAGTAGTAATATCACAGAAGTACTGTAGTATAAAACAGTAAACTCACCGACTACAATTTCCCAAAAACACAGCATACGTAGCCGCTCCCAAGTAGGGACTTGTCTCTGGAAAGCCTCGATAAAAGACGCCGACGTCTCCTCTGATGATGAGCGCTAGTGTCGTGGTAGCAACATGCTATGTGTTTACATCCATCGCCGCCATGTTTGTAATGACTTATCATGAGAACAAACGTATTCACGTGACTTTAATAGCATTTCTTACTTAATGGAAACATCGCAGTTGCAAAACTGTGTTTTTCGACATTAACAGAATATCGACATAGTTTTGCGCACGTTTGCAATGGAAACGCAGCTACTGGTTGCGTCTGAGCTGCCTTTACAACAACAACTCGAGGCGCCATTTTTTCAATTATGACACTCACAATGGCAGAACAGAGATCCACATCATGGTCCAATGCTGAGATGCAGGAGTTTTTGTGCTTGGTGGCAGAGGAGAAAATTCAAAGCGAGCTAGACGGGTCGACGCAACGAAAAAGTGTTCAAGGAGTTGTCGGAGCTGATGGCCACTCGTGGCTACGAGAGAACTGTTAAGTTTTGACTAGGAGAAGAACCCAAATCCGGACGGAGGTGAGTTTTAGTAAGAAAAATGTTTATTTTAACAAAAATAAACAAAAAGCTGTCAAGGCAGCAAAAACTAAATAATAATGACAACAAGGGAGAAACTTAACAGTTGGGTAAACCAAACAATGAGCCAGTGAGGGTGTGGAGTAAAAGACCAGTTTATATACAAACAGAGGGAATGAGGAAATGATGAACACCTGGTGGCAGGATTGATTGGGGATGACTGAGCAGGTGAGGATGATTAAATGATAATTGACTAGAAATTAGGCTGAGGATAACTGGAGGGTGGAAACACAGGGAAACAAAAAATAAAAAAACGCACATCTTCACAAGAACCCCAAAGCAATGTCGGGACAAACTGAAAATGTTGAAGTGTGATTATCGCACGATTAAGGACCACAATGGAAGGAGCGGTTCAAACCAGTTCAAACCCACTGCTACGTTTGATGGTTGCGTACCAACAGCATTACCACCACCTTCAGGCAAATACGTGTGACGACAATTTTCGGACTGTGGAAAAACACACCCACTGGAACCGGACTGGAACGTCAATGGAAATGCACCCGAACTGACCCGTTCTGACACTAACCATACCAACACTAGGTGGCACTAGTGGAAAGGGGGCATAGTGGACCAGGTGGACCACCAGGAGTTTTAGGTCGTATTCACACCAGCCATGTTTAGTCCACTTTAATCGAACTCTAGTTTGTTTGCCTGGAAAGCTCGGTTCATTTGTGGAGGTGTGAATGCGTAATCAAACTCTGATTTGGACTAAAAAAGGGAACTCTGGTCCACCTGAAAACCTAGGTCTCTGTTTAATTGAAACGAACTCTGGTGCGGTTCGACTGCATGTATGAACGCTAAGCGGACCAGAGACCGCTCCAAAAGCAGGAAGTGGACTATACTGCATGACATTCTGAGTAATAACAGTAATAAATGTACTTATATGGTGTAAACACCTCGCTGGACGACTGTATAAGGTGGACATCATGACTGTGGAGCTGGACGTGCTCCTACTCGATTAACACGGAACTTCCTCAGCCGACTTGTTTGCAAAACAAGATTCTCCGTGGTTCCGCCTCATCTTCCTCTCATGCTGAGCTCCTTGTTGAAGACTATTTGTTTAGCACATTTGCGAAAAACAAAAAATGAACCCTATAACCCTTAAAATGTAACGTTACCATTGTTTGTTTACATGTTGAGAAGAAGGAAGTTGCTCTAGGTCTTCTGAGGTTTTCATGTCGATTTCTTTAGTGGTTCTTGGTGCAGCGCCCCCACAGGTGAGGGCGGGAACAGGTTGTTTACAGGGTTTAGTTCGGTTGAGAAAGTGCAGTGTGAATTCAAACCGCACCAACAGAAAATGTAAACAAAGCTTGCAGTTTTGGTCCACAATCGAACCGAGTCTACCGGACTATCAGGTGTGAATACGACCTTAGACAAGTGGACCAGGTGAACTAGGTGGACCAGGTGTAGCATGTGTGCTGTACCTGTGTTCCGTTGAAGACCCCGACCTGGACCAGGCGACCCGGTTTCTGCTGGTAGTTCAGGATGCTGTAGGTGGCGAAGCGCCGGTCGCCGTCGTCGTTAAACTCAATCCGTCCCGTCAGGCCGTCGGGGTACTTCGATGACATCAGCACCCTGTGGAGCCAATCAGACGACACGTAAGTGACTCTATGAAAATCCTGGACTGCAGAAACCATCAGCTGGACTGAAGCAGATTTTGGGTCATCCTGTGATGAAGAGGAGGATGAAGAGTGACAGGGTTGTTCCACTTGAATCTGAATACAGATCAGGTCACAGGATCATCTCTGGGATTCTCGTGTCCCGCTGAAGGAGACAAGAACGCCCAGAAATCCTACGCTTTCTGCGCTCATTAAACTCGACATGGTGGTGCCTTCAGGGGACGACAGCGAGAGACCGACATGCAACCATCAAACACTGAAGATAACTTAAGAGAAACTATATTTTTTTACATCAACAAGACTGATGGAGAAGCTAAATAACCTGTCGGGTCGACAGTTAGACCCGCGAGCTGCGGGGTCTCAGAGGTACTGACCGTTTGAAGAGCGGCCCGGTTCTCCAGATGTTGGTGTTCCCCACGCAGCCCCGCGGAGGCTCCGTGATGTTCTCCTTCTCAAACAGCTCCTGCAGGGACTGAGCCACCACGGCGACGGCGTCCGTGATATGAGCCGACTCGTTCTTACCGTTAATCAGCTGGAGGCCCAGCAAGCCTGCGCCGTGCACACACACACACACACACACAGACACACACAAACACACACAGACACACACACACACACACAGCAGGAAGTTACACAGGCCTCTCTCTGAAAACTGTCCTCATTCACACATGAAGCTCTCAGACGCTCAGCAGAGGTAATTAAACAGCGGCTCGGTGTAATTCAGACACTTTCTGGGCTTCAGGCTTCAGGTCAGCGTTCAGTAACACCAAACTGCATGCTGGGAGTTCACTCTGACAATCACAGCCGTTTGTCTCAGCACAGAAAAACCCCACTGAGACACCAGGAACTGCAGCTGGGGACATCCTTCAGCTGAGACCCGTCACGCTGTGAAGAAACCTGTCCACATCTGTCCTCCGGCTGAGACACAACAGACCGCTAACACAGTTAGCATTCTCCAAAAACAACCAAAAATACTGAAGCAGCTCATTGAAAATGACAAATTAAAATAAAAGTAACAGGAAAAGAAGCTTTGTTCTTCATTAAACTGTAGTTAGGCTCGGATTGCCTGAACTATCCTTTAGTTCTAAAAAAAATTGTAAAATTCTCCATTTGATTCTGTTTGTTCTGAAGATTTTTCAAATATTAAAGCCAGTTTTTGTGGCAGAATAGTTATACTGTACTGAATCATATTATAATGTATCTGAACATATTGTATTATATTGTACCGTATCACATTGTACTGAAATGTATCATATAGTACTGTATAATACTGTCCCATATCTTTTGTTGATCTAATTTAAAAAATGCAAACAAAAAGAAATGTTTTGTCAGAACCAGTGGAATGCTAAAAGCTGTTAGCAGACTGTTAGTGAGCTGAAACAACAAATGTAGAATCTTTTTCCTTCATGTGTGACGAGAACATGTTGAAGACAAACAGCAGAAAAGTTCAAACTGTCTCCGATCTTCACAGGTTTCTGTTTGTGGAACTGTTTGTTTGTTTGTTTGTTTGTTTGTTTGTTTGTTTGTTTGTTTGTTCATCAGAACTTGTCACAAAAATGTTCTTTTTTTCTGGTTGTTTTTGGACCCGCTTTAGTTCCTGTAAGCTACAGAGTTCATGTTCAGTGTTTGTTGAGGCGCTGGGCTCTGTGACATCAATAATCATTATATGACTTTATTTCTGCCGTACCTCATCTGTTGTGTTAAATAACTCCATATAACTCAAACAACATGCATTTTACTGCCAGGTGGGAACTCTCAGAGCTCCAGAACCAGGTCAGAGCAAGGTCTAAGTGTCCCTGGGCCCCTTTAAGACCCTGCAGGTCGAGAAAAGGATCCTAGACTTGAAACCAGGAGGTTTACGTCACAATAAACCAAACATTAAACTATAACCAGTATAAAAGCTGACTCAGCAAGAACCTGCAACACTTCCTGAAACAGAAACCTGGAACCTGCTGCAGCTGAGACCAAACAGCTGGAGGATTTTCAGAATGCAGTCTGGCTGCACGTCTAAAGAAATGATGATGATTTTTGTCACATCTGGTCACACAGATGTGGAGAAAAGTCTCGTCATTTCTCAGCGTGCAGCGGCCGGTGGGTGAGGATGTTTTCTGGAGTCAAATCAAAACCACAGCAAAAAGAGCAGGAAGTGGATTACTCAGCAACCAGAGAGCCGGGCGTCCGCACCGATCCAACAAACAGCTTTTGGTTTTTAACGTTTCTGTTTAAAACTGAAGTATAACCGGAAACACCAGGAGGCTCCAGCTGGACGTAGTCCTGTCTCAGAGCTCAGAACTGAGCCGTCCAGAAGTGCCGCTTCAGAAATGACCCTCTGGCTGGCTGAGTAATCAGCTGACTCAATAAACCCCGCCCCCAGGATTCATGTCGCAGTGGGCGGCGTCTTTATTGACCAATGGCAAAAGGCAAAGCATCAAGCAGGAAACAGGAAGCAGCGAAGTCATCTTACCAGTTGATTGAACACACATCACGGTAACCACAGCACCCCCCCACCCCCACCCC